GTGTGTGTCAGAGGCAGATCATTTGGCCATTAGACCGGCTGGGTCCTGCCACTTTCTTTCTGAAGTCGTTAGGAACTTTGTCATAATGTCATACTTTCCACATACAACTCCCGTGCCTTCGGGTAATTGGGTGTCTTACCCCTTCCAGCCACCACAGACACACGGCTCATTATTCCTGCCTCGCGCCATCTCTGACCCGCTGTGCACCTCAGCCACGAATCAGACCTCCCAATATGGCCGTGACAACGTGCAAGGGTGGATTCTTCCAGGCAGGAAGGAGACTGAAAAAAGAGAGGAGAAAAAGCTTTAAACCGTTGCGCTTTTTTGTACTAAAGCAACCTGAAAGATTGAACTATCAAAATACTGTGCCAGAGCAGTAAGAGCAGAATTAGTTAATAACATTTAAATTTTGTGGGTGTTGGATCAATGGCTCCAAGGTTTGCTTTGTTCTCACGTTTGTTCTCATTCTTTAAATGAGAGCGTGTAACCCCAGTTTCGGGGTTGGTTTTTTTTTTTTAGCTGTTCTGAGTGAAAGCAGAATTTCTTCTCTTGTGCATGTGCTTGTTTTTTTTTTCTTTTTCAAAAGCAGCAATTAAAAACATTTGGGACGGGCAGGTGACAGCACATAGCACAGAGCACAGAGCACAGAGCTCGCACACGGCTCGAAAGCACGAGCTGCGTAAAAAGGCCCTTAACTGCATAATGGAGTTTCTGGGAATCGGCGAAAATAATGCGACTGTGAAACGGCTGGCCAGCTCGCGGGCGGACCGAGCGGATGGCCCCAGTTTGTATTGAAGTATCTGCACCTTGCGGTGGAGCCGAGCCTTTTATATAGATCGCAGATCAGAGTTCAGAGCTCGCAACTGATGCTTTTAGGAGACTTTCAGATGGCAGCTCAAAGTGTGATGGGGGTACATTGTGGTGAAGGGTGGAGCCATTTTTACTGGTACTCGGGTGTGTATGCGGAAGAGCGGCAAACAATAGACGGGAAAGCACCCTTCATCCCCTCACTTCCCCCAAAAAAACAGGTATGCCCATCTCTTCAGTTCCCATCCCACTACCAGCTGATAAAACCACCAGGCAAATTAGTCATAAACTGGAATTTCCTGTTTGGTCCCTTTGTTCCTGCTGTTGACATAACATTGTTTGCATATTTATGTACGTTGTCATGTATGATCTGTTTTTGGGTGTATGTGAAGGGTAGATATGACACATTGTGCTGTGCAGGGTGGCTGTTTTAGGACCCCCCCCCCCAGTTCAGTAGAGCCCCATTAGCAAACTGTGCTGACACATCCACGAGCAACCGGCGACAGAGAAAAGCACATGCTTGCTTTTGATTAAAACCAGTATTTTGGGAATACGGTCTTCTTTTAACCGAGGAAATGTCACAAATATTGGCATACAGACGGATAGGAACAGGAAGAGAGAGTCAGAGATCAAAAATGCAAAAGAAAAAATCAAATATACAAATAGTTCTGCTTTGTGACAGCAAGGTGCAACAAAATAGCAGAAGGAAACGACAGAAAAGCTGAACAGGCCTGAACTATCGCCTTATAACTTTCATAGCTCCAGGTTTTAGCTGTTTCCGAGCCAGTTACAGAGCTGAGCATGATAGACTGTCCTTCTAGTGCAGCTGGGAATGGTCTTGCTATCTATTTTCCTGAGAGGCCCCCGGCACAGGGATATAAGATCAATAATCACCTGGCTGAGGGCTGTAATGTAAGCTAATGGGCACTTATAAGGCATTGGCAGCCTGTTGGTAATAGGCAGACAGGAGTCAGGTGGTATAGATTAACACATGATTCATAATGCTGTTATGGGTTTTCAAGTGACCCTTTTGTCAAGCTTGTAGTACTGCAGTTACACGCTATTATTTCCCTGTTTAGAAACACTTACATTTTTTGGAACAGGGGTTATTTAATACATAATTTATGAATGAAGTTTTCTCAGCATTTTTTTTTTTAAATGTTTTGTGAGATTCAGCCTAGTTTTTGTTCAAGCTTATAGTGCTGGAGGATTGTGATTGTGGAGGACATCAGACAGGATGTCAGTAGAGCAAAGCAAGGCCACCATGGGATCTACATCAGGAGATGGTAACTCTACGTCAGGATAGGTGGTAACTCTACTCCTAGCGTTCTGTGGCCTGGTGGAAAACTGGACCGGGGTGCAAACCCTGACCTTAAGTAGCAGAAATGTTTATGTTTTTGAAAAGGGTGGGGCTGTGAGGGGAGTTTCAGTGCAGCATAAAATTAATCTGAAATAATCAAAGCTGCATGCTAAATGTGATTGCATTGTCTTCTTATGCTAATTGTCCCACGCAGCATTTTAGATGGTTCCCAGTCAGTGGTCATGAAGACACACCCTTCCTATTCGCTCATTACATTGTTTAAAAAGAAACTTGCAGAAGAAACTCAAAATAAAGCAGAATGCAAAGGCCTGATGTGCAACTGCAGCATCTATATTGAATCTCATGAAATAATTCATGCTTATGTGGAATTAGAGTATTGGCTTCATCGTGAAGCTGGCCTTACCATTAGCGTTAGAGTGGTCAAAAACCATTTATACCAACTTTCTAACATCTGCAGGTTGACCAGAAATATAAATGGAAAATGATGTACAGACTTCAAACTTTGGGTTTTGGCTAAAAGTGTTTTCTCTTTGCTGTCACTTTCATTTTCATTCATGTTTAGGATGACAAGGCAATCAAAGGACGATTCATGTTCATTAGAAGGTGCATGACAAACACGTCTTTCCTATAAGCAGAAGTCATTTGCTGCATACCTGCTAAATTGCCCAGTTGTGTTATTTGCCAGGAAGCATTTTTCTTAGCTTAATTTCATAATTCAAGGGATTCAGTCTGAGGCCAATGGGCTGCTGACGTATTCAGATGAGACTGATATAATTCTCAAATGGAGACAGACGGTAACGATTCTTCAAGGAAGGAATTGCGTGTGAGAGTGATGAGTCGGTTTCCAGTCACAGGGTGGATGCAGCTGGAGACTCTGGGTTTAATTCCACCCCAGGTCTTGATGGCCTTATTAAAGTCAACTGACACACAGAGTGCTTTTGACTTGTATTGTAGCTGACGTGTCTATAAAATCTTCTGAACTCTGACATCCCCTAGGACTTTGAGTTTGCTCTATTCTTCAAGCTCAGTAAAAAGCTAAAACATTACTACACCATGGCCTGGAAAAAAAAACGACTTACACTAGCGCAGTGTTGGGGAAACATCAGCCACTTTGGGGCATGCATAACTGAATAATTCCGTTTTAGCCACGAGGAGTGTATGATTGTGAAGGTGCTTGTTTTTGAAGCCAGGCGGCCCTGTTTTTTGTCATATTCAGGCAGTTGGTCGTTATAGTTCCTTTTTCCCTCCCGGCTGGACTGAACAGGGCGTTCCATAGACCCAGACCTTTGTTTCTTGTCAACGCTGCTCGTTCGTCTTCCATCCAATTCGCTTAGGCCTCCCGGAGGATGCCTGAGTGCCAGCCTGTTGCCAGCTGGGCTCTTCTTCACGTCTGCTAGCTCCTATGCCTTTCCTCACAATTCTGGTTCCTTCCACGGCAACATCCCCTGACATGTATTCACGACTGCCCGGGGGGCCTTGCTCTAGCCTACCTCCCCCTCTTTCAACTCTCCATCATTTATTTGTTATTTTCCCCTCTTTCCTCTCCTCCCTTCTTTATTTGTCTCCTTTCCTCTCTCTCCTGCCGCCTCCCTTGCTCTCCATGCCTCTGGCGCCTTTCCTAACCCCGGCCGTGTGAACGTGTATCACACACTGCCGTTAACTGCCCCTCGCCGCCATGTGTGACCAATTAAGCCGCATTCCTGTTGAGAGCTGGGCGTAGCACTGCGCCGGTGGGGCACGGCGCCTAGCAGGGAAGGCAAGCAGGGCCCGTGTACAAGGGAGGAGTATGTATGGGCTGAGCAAACTCGCTGCGCTAGGCCGCCACCCTGCTAGCCGAAGGCTTCGCCTGCGGCTAGGAGGGCAGTTTCTTAACTTGTCGCAGGTGTGCTGTACCATATCGATTTCTGAATGGGCGGAGCCACGCTGAAATATGCAGGATCCATTTCCTTTCCCATCATGCATCTCTGGCAGTGACACCCCAGACAGTGCAAATAGAATTATTGTATTAGTTGTGTGCTTGTCAGTAGGATCCATGACAGGCTAGAAGGCTGCCTTAGTGTCTTAGGCCAGCAAAGCCACACTGCAGGACGTTGAATGGAGCATTGTCTTCCTGGCACTCTGCTGCTTTCAGTGGGGTGCATTGGCATGGCGGGGGGGGGGGGCTCTTGATCAGAGCTCCTGGACCAAAAGTCTGTGGCTGGCAAGAATGGCACCCAGATGCAGCCGGAACTGGTGGAGGCTGCTGCTCTTTTATGGGGACTTTAATGGAAGTTGGGGAGGCCAGAGCCGGGGTGTCGTGTGTCTACTGCATCCACAGCATGTGCAGCTGGCACTGAGGAGCTGCCTTAGGGGGCAAAGCGCGATGAGGGCTGGCGGTCCGGGCCGGAGAAAAGGGCACGGCCTTCCGTCTGACCTTTCTCCTGGGGTGCCCTATCATTTTCGGCACACTCGTTCCCCATGGCCTATGGAGCGGGATGGGGGGGGTGTGTGCTCTGAAGCCAAGTAGGTCATCTGACTGTGCCTCGCAGGCGTGCTGGGGGGCATGTGTCACGTGACGACAGGTGTGACACTCGGAGTGATCGTTTATTTAATGCACATTTCCTGCACAGCTCCTCTAGTTGCCGGTGTGTGTTTCCGCACACCCTGCTCCTCTAGTTGTCGTTGTGTGTTTCTGCACACCCTGTCTAGGTTTGGGATGTGCCGCCTGTAATTCGATGTTGAGAAAGAGTCGCAGGATGATGTCAGAATGGGGCCAAAGGTATGCCTGTATGCTAAGTGCAGTCTGTTCTACTGCAGAAATCTCTCCACGAGACAGGATTGACATCGATACACACTCTTACATATGTGTGTGTGTGTGTTTGTGTGTGCACAGGTTCTTCGTACTATGACAACGTGCGACCTCTGGCCTACCCGGACTCAGATGCCGTGCTCATCTGCTTTGACATCAGCCGCCCAGAGACGCTGGACAGCGTACTGAAGAAGGTCAGAATCCCTCTTCCTCCTGCTCACATCACCAATCACTTCTCTCACGCATCATTATTCTCACAGCAGTAATTACACCTGATTCTCAGTCACTGTACTTCTTATTGTCACATATACCAAATATCTAAAAATCTAATGAATCCACCACCTCCAGGTCTTACACGGCCAGCAAGCTCTTTTAACACCAGAGACATTTTCCTGCTATGAATTAGTTGCATGAGCAGTTATATGGTCACTTCCCCTATGTGCCATACCTGTCAGAGAGTGCACAAAGCACCCATTTCCAATACTTCCCCCGCCTCCCGCAGCACATTAGATCTCAGTTCTGACTGGTGAAGCGACCTACAGCTGCCAATACTGCCCCCAACGGCTGGGTCACCGGTGAGACCCAAAGGTTTTTGTCAGTTTTTGTAATTACAGGATTACAGCACAGAGCTCACACGGCTAAAGAAACTAAAGGCAGCTAGGAATTAATTCCGCTGCCAAGCTGATCATCGTATTTTATTTTATATCCGAAGCACTGTACAGCAGTGGGAAAAATTGTGGAAACACTTCCAGTTTTTTGAGATTACAGAACTTTATTCAACTATTGCTCCAGTTACATATTTAATTGCCCAGTGTATGATATTTGTAACATTCTTTGATTGTTTATAAACATTACTGCCAATATTCGTGTAGTAATTTTTAGAGTCGGTTTTTCTCAATTTTGGCCACTAGTTTACTGTTACATTCCACAATGCTGAATATAAATGTCATTATAAATAAGAAATCGGAAATTTGTTACTGTGTTTATGTACATTGCCACTTTGAAATGGAGAAGTGGTTGGAAGATAGATTTATAGTTTTTTAAGTATATACTTTAATGTATGAGTGAGCAGGGGAGGCTTGTTGTATACACACTGATTTGGCACTTACCCATGCCCCTTTCCTGGGAGCTTATTTGACCCTCTGAGCCTCTTGGGAATGAGGCAGATGTTGAGAAACAAAGCAGTTTTTTTTCTCCTGTGAAGGAGGAGCAGCTTTTGGGTCCCACGCCTGTGAAGGTCTTGTGGCTCGGGATCAAAGTGTGATGTTTCATGACAGGGGCTATCGACCCCCAAATAGACTCAGCTTGGGGGACACTGACATAATGAATAAGTGAAATGAAATTACTTTAGTTACCCAGGCACAAAACAGAATGTAGAAATCACTACCGAATAGATATAAAGAATATAGAGGGAAAGATAAATTCATCATAAGTAGATTAATTGTTATGTTGAATTTTTTAACGGATCTGATGCTACCCTGCAATAGGTTGGTGCCCCATCCTGGGTTATTCCCCTCTTGTTTCCGGGATAGGCTCCGCCCCCCCAAGTGGGAATGGAAAATGAATGTTTGGATGGATGGATTTGATGCTAATTTTCCCAATGCTATAAGAATCTTAAGGCATTTAAAAGTAAAAAACAACAAAGCTCTCCGGTAAATGTAGGAATTGGCTGAGCCTCCCTACTTCAGAGCCTTGGTTGTGTTTGTTGACTGTATATATTTCAGCCTGTTGTCTGTTAGTCACCCAGCCCCCACAGCCGCTCCCCAACTCCCCCACCCCCCCATGACTTGGCATGGCCCCGCAGGATGTATCACACTCTCATCGCTGGAGATTTGTTGAACCTGCATACGCTTGTATAGGTGTGAACACATTGCCTCCTCTCCCTTACCGTTTTTGGGGGGGGTGGTGAGAGTGGGGGGCCTAACCCCCCCGGCATTATGCCCTCTAATCTGCTGTCTGCTGAATATGTATCCGGTGACCCTCCTTGTTGGCCAAAGTCCAGAGAACCGTTCTTCTATTTAAGGAAAAGTAGAGAGCTACTTCAGAACTTTCTCGTATCGTATGAAAGAAAAACGCGACACGTGAAATGATTACTAATCAGGGGACCAAAGCAACAGTATATAATTCAATTATCTCTGATTGTTCAGTGAGGGGAACAATGTGTGCCCCGCACCTGGATTTCAACATGCCGTTATCCAAGGCTTTCAGCCAACGTTCCAAGAGCCATAGGTTGCGTGTTCCTCTGCACCGGGAATGGGGAAGTTTCTAGGTTGGGTTGACTCGCAGGCAATGGCTATAATGCAATGCATGATTTCATCTAAGTGTGAGAGCTGTGCTTGTGCACTCTTCACTTACCAGCGTCACAGTGGGATGAAAAAAACTGTCCCAGTTTCTACAACATAAAGGAACATAAAGCCCTTAATTTGTAAATAATAGAAACAATTAAATAATGACAGCTGAAGAACAAATTACACTTTACGTCATCATAGGTGAGTCATTAATGCTTTGAAATATATAAAACAGAAAATGTGTTCACACAGTAAGTATAGCTAGATTTTGTATGAGAGCAGACAACATGAAACGTTCAGGGTCATGATTGGCTACCCAAGCTTTCAACACATATACTTTGGCTGAGATGGGTTAAGAGGTCATGGGCAATATATTTTAGGCTTTAAATATCCAGACCTCAGGGTTGAAGGTTAAATTCTGCCCGTAGTTTATGTAACTGCCAAGATGCTTTTCGTGAAATACTTGGGCCGTAACAGCTAAAAGTTAGCTTGGCAAAGGTTGAGTTAAAACACGTTTGCAGGTTTACGCCATGACGACTTGCGCTCCTGAAAAATGTATTGTTCTGTGAGAGATGGTTTCTCTGCTAATAGGCTCACTGCTCTACCACAACACCTGCACTGTACATGTGATTCACTGTCGCTCTTTCACAGTGGCCTTTATCCAGGACATCTTAAGGAAAATCCTTGTCTTAAGGTTCCACAGAGATGCTGTGTGAAAGTGTGACTGGCCCTGTCTCATCTTGTAATGAAGTGCTGTAATTAGGTCACCATATAGGTGATCTCAAGCAACTCAGCCTCAGTCTGCAGCCTCGTCTGCAGTGTGTCGTTAACCCCTGAGGCTGTCACCTCAGACGTGTGCTCACAGCGTCCCCTCTTCCTGTTTGTCCCTTTTGCAGTGGCAAGGGGAGACCCAGGAGTACTGCCCCAACGCCAAGGTGGTCCTGGTGGGCTGCAAGCTGGACAAGCGGACGGAGCTGAGCACGCTAAGGGAGCTGTCCAAGCAGAGGCTTATCCCCATCACTCACGAGCAGGTGAGGTCACCTCAGGCTCTGCCGTTAAATTGCCAAGCAGGGTGACCGAAGGAATGCTGGTGTGACCCAGCTATGGAATCTGAAGCATCTTTTGAAGCAATATAGATGGCAGCTTAGTACCACACCTTATGGTGCCTAATGCTGATCACACAGATAAGCACTAATGTGAAAACAAAGCACAGGATTTGACTTTCACATGAGCACTCGGGTCATTGTTTGACATTATTCAAATGGGTGTCATCTGTTTGGGGCGGCTGACATGGGATTCGGTGCCATGCAAATTCTGTGGTTTGAATTCATTTTTCCTTTGGAATTTGTTGCCATTTTTTTGTGTATGATTGCTGCGAGAAGGCATGTTTGGACTTCGGCTTTTGAGAGACGCACAGGCGACAGTGTGGGAAACTCCCAAGCTCTCTCGGCTGTGGTGGATGTGTCAGGGGTTTTGTTTGGCACCTGACAAAATGCCTGAGTTAGACTGGCTAATCCACAAAGAGCATATGGTGTAAGGGGGACATATTTACAGTTAACAAACCCTCATTGATACTACTATGTTGTTTTCAGATTAAAGTCCTGTTTTTTTATGTGTTAGCTATTTATCTTTATTTTTGGCTGCATTGGGTCAGTATAGCGGCTTTTCCGCAGAACGTGACACTTTTTTTATGCAACTATCAAAGGACTTGAATGCAAAACAAAATGAAATTTCTGAAGACTATGATTGTCTGCCGTAGTGTCCCCCAGGTACGCACAGCGCAAACCTTTGTTTTCTTAATCTGCGTATTTTAATAGCCTCTTTCCATGTAAATTGAGTCCCGTACAACACTGATTTCAATGCTGCTGTTAATTATCTTTCCCTCTGAGGAAGCCTGGATTGAAAATGAATGTTTGCATTCTGGTCAACAAGAAGGGTGATAGAGGAGAGCATAACAAGCGTGAAGTGAATGAGATAAGCAGATAGAAAATCTTAACCCAACATAACTAAATTATGTTCCAAGAAACAGTTACCTAACAGTCTTCAAGAAAATTCAAGAAAATTAATAATTCTGTCTCTACAGGGCCACATCTGTTAAGTCCTCACAAGGTTTTAATTCGCTCTTTGGGCACAAAACAAGTTCTCAGTGTCCCATTTCTTCTCAGATTGTTCTTTCAACCAATCAGAGTTTAACAGAAATCCACTGGGAGGAAATACTTCCAAATTATCTTTGTAACTCAATTACATCCCCCACCCTAGAATTACACCCTAAAATGAGAAGGTTCTGGATTTGTCACTAATGAAAACATTCAAGGAATTTGATATGCATGTGTAGGGACAGTGGCAACATAAATGGGGAGTATTGTTTTGTACTAATTGACAATGAACTCCTTGAGTAGACTTTCAGTAAATCAATTGTTCGGAAGAATTTTACTTTATAGAAGGAATAAGAGTTATTCTGTTGATGAACTTATATAAATTTCAGTTAAGTTTCTTAAAGATTGGTGGTTTATTGAAGCAAAGTGCAGAAAGTGCAACAGCAGCATCCTTCTGTGGATTTGAAAAGAGCATTTCGGTAATAAGCCTTAACCTGAAATGGCCAAGAATACACAAATAACACCACTGACATTTAAATGAGTGGAATATAATGATCTTCCCCCATGTTTTCATTCTCCATTGTTTATTTATTTGTTATGCGATCCCCTTATCAGTTTAAATGAGGGAGTCTGGCAGGCTTACGGTATCACAATGGGCCATGCTTATCTACTAGGGCTGCATGGTTAAAAGCCAGTCAGCTTCAAAGAATTCAGATTGGTTGTCTTCTTGCCTCCCCGCCTTAATCTCCTTCTCACTATAGTGACCTACGTATATATAAAAAAATCAGGTATTTCACTTGTGAGGAAGCCTTATTCTTAGATATCTCCCCTGATTGAGTCTAGTTATATGTAGGTATACTTAGAGTTTAATAATTAGCATACTGGTCAGCCTTTTGATCAGTCCAGGAGTGACACCCAGCCCATCCTAAGCCACTTTCATTTTCATTTCCAACCTGACACTGGCATTTTCTGTGTAGCTCGGCACGGGACAGAAGCTTGGGGTCCAGAGGTTCTCTTCTGGTTAACTTGGAGGTGAAGGCATTAGATTGGTGGGAATGTATTTGGCATTATAACTCCGTACCATGCAGGTGTATGGTCAGTACTATCGGGGAGGGTAACAGGAAGTAGGGCAAAGCTCCTGACCCCGTGTCCCCTCCCCCAGGGCAGCATGCTGGCGCGGCAGATCGGCGCGGTGGCCTACATGGAATGCTCCTCCAGAACGTCGGAGAACAGCGTGCGGGACGTCTTCCACATGACCACGCTGGCGTCAGTAGGCAGTAGGCTCCACCTGAAGCGCACCACCACCCGGCGTGGCCTGAAGAGGATCTCTCAGCCGCCCAGCCAACAAGAGGTCCAGGATAACACCCCGGGCTTGAGGAAGGAGCGGGCCAAGAGCTGCGTGCTTATGTAGAAAGGCAGAGAAACAGAGATCTATATGTATAATAGAGGAACTCTATTTATTGTTTTCTATGTCATCTTTGCACTGCTGAGAGAAAAGACAAGGAAAGCAACAAAGAACATGAAGCTGCGGGGGGCTGTTGGGTGACCCTTCGATTTGCTTAAGTTCTTGGGGCAGACAAGGCTTTATGTCATAAATTAAAAATATAAACCACCGAGCGTACGGACTTCGCTTTTATTTGTGCTGAACTGTGCATTTTGGCTGTGCCAAGCAACTGATGGCAAGCTGAGCACTGAAGGTGAGGAGAATGGAGATGTAGGAGGAATGGGGATTTCAGCAGTCAAATGCAGCGATTCGCAAAGGAAATAGGTTGAGTGGGGATTTCTGAAGCATTGGGCCTTTTGCGCACTGTGACATGGCCACTTCATGTCCTTATAAGTTTTAGTGTCTGGTCCTGATCAGCTGACATCAGAATCAATAAGTGGTTGACCTGTGATCTGTAAAAACAATGACTTCTGCTCTTAGCTTAGAGCTGAGACTTACCATAATTGACTGTCATATACAATATCCTACTCTAGCAATTTGTAACACAAAAAAACTGTGATAAAATAATTGCACAACTATGATAGAAAATTGAGGGGTAAAGACAGCTTGTGGGATGACTAGAGAGTAGTGTTTCAGTATATTTTCAGGTTTTGAAATCCTGCAGGACTAATTCTCTAAACCACAAGTGCTTTCAAGTTAAAGTCACTTTATATTTGTACACATTTAATTTTATAATTTATCTATGTTTTTCTTTCGATTGTTTTCAAAATACGGATTGCGTTAAACTTTATTTAGAAACTTTCTTTCTGTCTTTTTTTTTATCTTTCTGTCAGATTGTTATGTTTTAACATTAACCAGAGACCAGAATAATGGTATCGGGCTGTTTCGCAGTATTTTGGGTTGTGTATTTGTGATGGAAATAAAATGACTCATTTAGTGACTGGCTTCTGGGGTTTTGTTCACAGAGAAGGCCATCTTTGTTGCTTGTGTGACACCTGGCAACCCGCGCAGCCGGCACGGTTCCGGGTCTGTTCGCGCTACGAACTTCTCTTTCTTGATGGTAACATCTTTAGTCCCAATGACTTTAGCTTCCCGCCAACCTCTGCTGGCTGTAGGATGTGCTTGATATATATATATATTCTGATGGTGGTTGGTCTGCTGGCTACAAGCGTTTGGCCAATCTGCATACTGATCTATAAGGACCCTCAAGATTCTCTTGAGTTCAGCTGCCTGGTCCCTTCATGCCGCAGATTTCCTCCATTTGCCCAGGTCTAAAAGAACGTCTTGCAGTCCACAGGGACTCTGGGATAAGAGGGAAGAGTGACAAGGTGACATTTTGTGGCTTTGACGCTATGCTGAGACCTGGGAGCACATCGCGGATGGAAAGTCAGGTGCTTTTTGTGTCAGAGTTACCTAGAATGTGACAGGTTCTGAGTGACCACAAACCAGTACAATACAGACGGCTCTGTACAGGCCTGTTCTAAATAATAAAGGGGTCAGGAAAGAGGGGGCCGTCGTCCTGGTGCCCGCACGTTGCGTAGATAGACAGATGCCCCTAGCGGGTGTGCGAAAAGTAAGCGGATTAGCATCGTAGATCCGAGGGAGGTGAGAAAAGAGAGCAGCCTAAAGCTGGCCCTTGGCTTCCCCTGAATCGTTAAGCTCCACTAAACCTGGGACTGTCTATCACGTTTATCTTTAGACAAAGGCCGTAGCCTAGTTCCTGAAGGGCTTCGGTGGTGGTGGACGAACCCCGGTGAGCGGGCCCCTAATACAGCGGGCCCCTAGTATAGATACCGCCAGGCAGCAGGGAAATCTCCATCACCGCCGACTCGTTAAGTACTAAAACACCCTAAAGCAGCGCATACAGTCGCATACAGCTGCTCATAATTCTCACATGCTTGTTCTGATTACCGCTGAATAATGTATTTTATTTGTAGCCACTGATTATTGTTTCACGGTTTTCCAGAAGTGCTCAGTCTAATCTATTCTATTTATCATACAAACACCTGGGGTATTATTACCGAAAGGCATAATGTCCTGCCTCATTTGAGTCATTGATTAAAAGAAACAAGCTTTTTAGAGCAAGAAAGAGCCTCCAGTTTGATTGGTAAAATGTTTGAACAGTTGAGAGCTGGACTGACGCTTGGGAATATGAGACGTGTCACGCTGCTACTGCCTGCCTCCCCTCAATTCACCTCAAAAGTGGCAGCTGTTCTGACACCCACAGTCAGAAGTCACAAGCCCCCCCCCCCATCCAAGCCCATAAATCCCACAGCTCCGTAAGCAGGGCTGCCCCGGCCCAGCTCAGCCACCCTCCCGCTCCGGGAACTGAACGTGCTCCCGTCACAGCACATTAATTACAGCTTCCTGTAACAAGCCATTGACGGCGCCGGCCCTGTCCAGGCAGACATGTTTGGGATCACCTCAGCGACTCTGGGGGGCTGCGGGTGCCTTGTGGGCCAGTGAGAATGAACGTTCATAATTCCCTGTTTTCTGGAGGGAGGGGGGTCCCCGTCTCTCAGAGGTACTTGGCACACACTCAGCCTTTGAGTGGAGTACATGGTGAATTACACCTAATTACATCGAGTGGCCACTTTATTAGGTGTCTCTTCATAGTGCCAGGTAGGACCCCTTTATTGTCTCCAGAACCACTTCATAGGCTGATTAGTTCTGCGTTTGGAGATGCCTCATTGACAACATATCTTTGGCAACAGAATTGCTGCTGACTGGATATGTTTCGCGTGCGGGACCATTCTCTGTAATCCCTAGGCACTGCAGTACGGGCTTGTTTCTTACAAGCTGGAACCACCATGTCTGCCACCAACAATCACATCACATTCAATATCACTTAGATCAGTGTTTCTCAGTCCGGTCCATTTTTGCTCCCTCCCAGCTCCCTACCAAAAATGTGGTCTGTCTGGGAGGGAGCAAAAACGTGGACTGTGTGAGGGTCCCTGACAACCGGGCTGAGAAACACTGACTTAGATTACACATTTTACCTATTTTAATGCCTAGCTATACAGTAAATCCACCTCTTGACCTTTTCTGCATACTGCCTCACTGTTTAGTACAGTAGGCCTTTTACATTAATGAACAGGGGTGCATAGTGAAATATTTACTGACTATATATATGGTTGAAGGACACAGTACATACACAGTAGGTGAAGGTGTACATAAAGAAGGACATGGCTACATGGATGGCAGAATGCCATCCGAACAAGAGGGGCCTACTTTTGAAAAGCTGAGATATAACTTTCTGCTTAATAAACTGATATGGCTTTTAATAATAAAATTTTAACACTTTGCATTAGGTGTGGTGTAATGGTGCAGGGGTTAACACTGTTCCTGCACACCTCCGCAACCTGGGCTTAAGTCCCCACTGTGGTTCTGTGTGTGTCTGTGTGCGTGTTTTCTCTATGTATTAGTGAAGAGATTCGTCTGGGTACTTGAGTGCAAATACATGCTGGGGTGAATTGAGGCTGTTCCCCCTGTGATGTGTCAGGACCCCAGCCTGCCCCTGCTTTACACCCATAGGCTCAGGATGCTGAATGGGACAAATGGCTACAGAAGATGGATGGTTTACTTTACATTATTTGTAGGTTTTTTTCATTGTTTTTTTTTTTTTGATTGTTCAATACTGAATCCTTAGTGGTGCCCCAAAAGCTATCCATCCATGCATGGCTAACATTGAAACATAGGGTGCCTTCCTCTTGGAATTGATTGACAGAGTCAGAAACCAAAGACCAGTCCATAACTGACAGGCCCTTGTTGCTGTGCAAATCCAGAGTGTGGTGTCTTAGCTGTAGGCAAGACAAAGAAACATCATGACTAACACCAAAGTAAACAAATGATAATAATTTTCTTTGACTCATTCCTTTATGGTAACAGTCCATGAATTCATTGGATGTTAACTGCGAATCACAAACACACCTACATATCTTTTAGAATCAGTCACTGCCTTGTGCAATTTCTTATTTTTATTTTTTACCACAAACTGTAGCAGATAGGTCTAGATGAGAAAGAGAATGAACAAGCACTGAACCAAGTGAAACAGCAAGAAATTTCATTCAAATAAGCAATTAAAATTGAGTAAATGATACAAGAATTGGATTTACACCACAGATTGTTAATATCAGACGTTCAGTACGTTCAGCGCATTCTGGTGTGTACGAGAATACCGCACAATAACTGCATTGTTGATATGTTTGGCAAAAAACATTATACCTTAATAAGACAGATTTCCTAACATTAATCCATTATAGGTTTACTTATACTATAAATCCGGATTAACAGCAGGACTGCAGGAGAGAATAAAGCAAGGCTCTTCAAATCTGGCCCTCCATTCTAAATCCATGCCATGTTTTTAGTTCTCCCAGGTACTTAGTTTAATAATTACTGATTCTGATTGGCCAGAGGCTGCCCACCTGGCTCACAGGTAAGGGTAGGCTGGAAATTCAGCAGAAATTCAGAAGGGATTTAACTTTACTGACATATAAAAAAATGCTAAATTCCAGTTTAAAACAAGGTATACATATTTTGATAACTGAATAAAAATTGCCTACAAACTCAGATTCATTGTAAGCAATAAACTAAAAATGCCTCGATAATGGCATGACTAAGGGTTTGATCATGGTCAGATATTAGCAAAATACAAATAAAAACAGTGATTTGCATGAACTGAATGTAAAACTGCAAATTATCAGTCACAGCGATGGTGACTATAAAAACCTCATCCCGTAGGGTTCTACAAACGATTCGTGATTACATTTGAAAATTAAGATGGCATTGAAAAGTATACATAAAATAATTAGTAAAGTAGGCGATTATAGCGGTGGCGTGTAAGTCCACCTTGATTCATAACAAAAAAACGGACACATATCCGTACTGCAAAGAGAAAAACAGAACTGCTCGTCGAAATGACAAACTATAGCAAATAATATCAAGTCACGTCGTGCAAAACTACTAAATTTAAATATATATATTTTTTCCAATAGAGACTAATTATAAGCCTTACAAACTTACATAAAATTGAACAAAGTAATATACACCCGGCTTCTCCCCAGAAACCTCAGTAAATAAGAATTAATAAGCGACCTAATACAGATTTCCAGAGACATGACGACCAAAATGATTGAAGTGAGAATGGGAAATAAGGAAGAATAAGAAGAAAGAAGAATGTTCCTAAACAGTTCAAAAACGTCGGCACATCTTGGCCACGAAACAATGTAGGAAATGAGATACTTCTTGTCTGGGCCGGTGATGTACATTGAATCCTATTAAATTATAATGCCAGGGAGACCATATTGCTGGGTCGATCTCTATTTATATTGGTCATATTTATATGTATTTATTAAATTTTATTATTATATTTAGAAGCAGAGATGATGTTATTCTTATTAGAATTCTTATCGAAAACAAATAATAATAATAATGCAATTTCAAATTAAACAACTTTTGGTTACGTTACGATTCTCAATACGAATTTCCCATATGAAATCTTTTTACCGAAGGTAAACATTTGGTAGCTCGATCGGGCGGGGACACGTAAATTACTAATTTAATTCTTTGACAGAATTAACTCCACCAGCGCACACAGTTAAGTTAATTAAATTGGTAATTACACTATAACATATATGCTTAAACTAAACTTTTGTCTTATTTCATAATGTTGATATAACATGAATATTTTGCCATGATTTGTGTGTGTTGGTACCATAAGTAAAAGGAGAAAGAAAAACGCGCGTCCAAACATCCGACGTGTTACCACACTGTTTCACGTTGCGATTAGGTACTGTCATTTTGGTGGTTTATTAATTCTCACTGTAGAATAAATGAACGTCATCATGGTCTCCAGGAGACGGAGCTCTTTATCGTTATGCTGCTGGAACTCGACGTGCGCTGAATAAGGATTAGGCGCGCGACGTGCTCTCCTAGTTCAAT